GGCTCATTGACCTCCGCCGCTAGCTGACCGGTCAGCGCCAGGACGGCTACTCCCCAGCCATCCATTTTGACGGTAAGCTCCCCTGTCCCGACGCGCCTGCTGCCCTCCCTGACGCCCGCACGTTTGATGAGCGTGAGGCTTTTGTCACTCCTGACCTTGTACGCGCTGTCCGGGAGTCGCGCGACGCAGTCGCATAGCTTGCCATTAGTCATGCCCTCCCCCTGTCTGAGCGTCCCCGCTTTGCCGTAGTAGAAAACGTGAAAGAATACTCAGATGCGGTTATTACATGCTATTCCACTCCCTTCTACGCCTCTGCCGGCCGCCTGATCCTCCCCATGCTATTCCCTGACCTTGCTTCCTTCCCCACTGTCGTTCACGTTGTCACTCAACTCCGCGCACTTGAGACTAGCTACCGTGCTGCTAGCACTGAGGCACAGCTCACTGCATTCCCGCCACAGCTTTGTGCTACCCTGTACCTCATTGCCACACGCCTCCCACCCCCTTGCCATTGCGTGCGACCACTTCCTTAGTCATCACCCAGGTGACCTCACCCTTGCCGCCTTTGTTACCGCCCAGTCTGCGATTGAGAACCGCAAGCGCACTATCGCTCAGTCTAGCGGTACTGTGGCGGTCCCTATCTTCGAGGGTTGTGCTCCCTCCAAGTGCACTTTCTCTGACGTTTCTGCCGCTGTCGCTGAGACAGCCCCTGCTACTGAGACCGCCTGAGCGGCCTCAGCGCAGCCACGTCTGGGTAGGGGCTGCCGCCCCAAGGGGGGGCGTTATGGAGGGAAGGGTGGCGGAGGTGGCGGGGGTGGTAGCGGGGACGGTGGTGCAGACGAAGGGACCTGGGCTGATGTCTCGGAGCCGCAGCAGCAACAGCCTCAACAGCAACAGTAGCAGTCGCACCAGCAGCAGCCGCCGTGGGGACCCCCGTCACCTTGGTGGCCTGGCGACACTGGTGGGGGTGGTCGTGGTGGTGGACCGCGCAGCTCGGTGTCGGGTGGCAGCTCCAGTATGGTCACTTGCCAGTACCATCTTTAGTCCGCCCCCCGCCGCTGCACCGTCTGCAACCGTCCCGGTCACACCGCCGCCCGCTGCTACCGCCGTTTCGATGACCTCTTCCGTCTCCGCTTCGGCCCCATGGCAGACCCCCCCGACCCGTACAGCCTAGTGCGTCGTCGTGTGCCTGCCTTTGAGCTAGACATGGATCAAATTAGGTCTCCTATGTATGCCATATATGTGGATGCCTCTAGTTTGATTGGACCCTATTACCCGATGTTGCCTAGCATAGGTGTGTCCACTGTGTGTAGTCTAGGTTCCCCTGTTGCATCAGGCGTAGGACCCCCTACCTTGTTTAGCCTAGGCTCCACGCTAGCCCCTCCACCAACTGGCGCTACTGCTTCGCTCTCTTTCACGCTAGACTCTGGAGCGTCTGCCTGATTCTTCCGCGTCCACACTGCGCTCACGCCACTTGCCGCCACTGCCGCTGTCGCGCTTGCTGACCCTTCCTCAGGTTTGATAGTTGCCTATAGCTTTACCACCCATCCCTGCCCGGCAGTTCCCTTGGGCTCTCTTACAGGCCTTCACATCCCCTCGTTTTCTAGGAACCTAGTTGGTGTCGGCTGTCTTCAGGACCTCGGCGTTACCACTACGTTCTCCGGACACGAGCGGTACGGGGTCTGTACCGAGGCCGCCACTGGTACCCTCTCACCACGTTCCTCCGGGACCCTGTGTCTAGCATGTTTACGCTTGAAACCACGCCCCCCCTCGTCGGGGCGTCCCTCCAGGTGCCTGTGTCTACCCAGGTCGCTGCGGCTTGCTCATGTCAGTCGCTCACTCACCCGTCGCTTCTGTGGCACCATCGCCTAGGTCACCCAGCACTCCCCCGTCTGTGTCACATGTCCCACCACGGTCCTGTCTTAGGACTCCCTGCGTCGCTCCCTGCTCTCCCTCCCTCGCCTATGCCACCGTGCACGCCCTGTGTCGAGGGTCGGTTGCGCCGTGCTCCTCACTCCTCCTTGCTCCCCCCTACCTCTGCGCCACTTCAGACCGTGCACCTGAATGTCTGGGGCCCAGCCCCCGTCCCTGGGCCGCGTCGAGAGCGCTACAATCTAGTGCTTGTCGATGAATACATGCACTACACCATGGTGTTTCCCCTAGAGCGGAAGGCCGAAATGTTTCACATTCTTATCCGTGGGTCGTAGCTGCGCGAGTCCACCACGACCTCCCTGTGGTGCGTCTTCACTTCGACCATGGGGGCGAGTTTGCCCCCAGTCGGTTTGGCCAATTTTGTCGTGCGGAGGGCATCACCCATTCGTACACCCAGCCAGACTCCCCGAAGCAGAATGGGGTCACTCAGCGACGCATCGGTTTGGTCATGGAGGTGGCTCGTATCTCCATGATCCATGGCGGTGCACTCTATTTCCTATTGCCGTTCGCTGTTCGCTACACTGCTCACCAGCTTAACCAGTGGTCACACTCTCAGCGGCCATAGGTTTAGCCAACCCTTCTCTGGATAGGGTCCCCTGGTGATGTGTCTGTGTTCCACGTCTGGGGCTGCCTTGCTCACGTTTGTGTCACTGGCACAGACAAGCTCACTGCCCACACTGTCCCCTGTGCCTTCCTTGGCTTCCCATTTGACGCGTCTGATTGGCACTTTTACCATCCGCCGTCTCACCGTTTCTCTCACTCACATGACGCCACTTTTGACGAGTCTGTCTGCTTTTACCACCGCTTTCCACACCGAGGTCTCCTGGTTACCCCGCCCTTGTTTCTGGTTCCCACTCCCCTGATAGCCCATGCTCCTCTCCCTCCCCAATATGCCTTGTCTGGTGTGTCTCATGTCACTCCCCTCCCGTCAGTTGTCCCGGAAGAGGAGTCGGCTGACTCTGGGGACCCTACAGCTCCGTGCTCGTCGCTTGTCTCCGCACCGGTGTCTCCTCCTCCGCCATCGCAGCAGCACCCGCCGTTGCCACCGCAGCAGCAACAGTCGTCACCGACGTCGCAGACGCAACAGCCGCCGCAGGCGTCACCGTCGCAGACGCAACAGCCGCCGCAGGCTTGCCGCCGCAGCAACAGGCGCCGCAGGGGTCCGCGAGCACTAGGGGTGTGGGCGTTGAGGAGGGTGCTAGTCCTGAGGATTAAGTGCACTGAGAGGGAGCATAGCCTTGGAAGATAGGGATCGGCACAGTACCGCTAGACTGGGCGATAGTACGCTGGTGGGTCTCTATCGGGAAAGGGCGGGGACAATGGTGGCAAGGGTGAGTTCACATGGGTGTTGATTGAGGAAGTGGTCGCGGGCAGTGGCTAGGTAATCAGGAAGGCACGTGGCAATGAGTTTAAGGGTAGCGCAAAGCGGCGGCGGGAAGGCAGTGAGCTGTGTCTCAGTGCTAGCGGGGCGGTAGCTAGCCTTTGGTGCGCGGAGGTGAGCGGCAAGGTCAGTGACAGTGGGGAATGACGCAAGATCAGGGAACAACATAGGGAGGATCAGGCGACCAGCAGAGGCTGAGGCAGGGGTGGAATAGCGCTGGATAACAGCATGTAAGTATTCCTTGGCGTTTGCTACAGTGGTAAAGCGGGGACGCTCAGACAGGGGGAGGGCGTGACTAATAGCAAGCTGAGCAACAGCGTCGCGCGAATCCCAGACAGCGCAGGCAAGCTCGGTAGCAACGAAAGCCTCACACTCAGCAGACGTGGGGGCGTCAGGGAGGGCAGCAGGCGGGGCAGGGCGAGGCTTACCGTCGACTTGGACGGCCTGGGAGGGCCGTCCTGGCGCTGCCCGGTCAGCTGGCGGCGGAAGTCGACGAGCCACGCCTCAAACTCAACGGCCCGACCCTCCACGTCAAGGCGGAGCAGAGAGTCCGCCATCCCGACGGCTGTAGCAGCTGACGGTCGCTGACAAGGGGAGGAGGGAAAGCGGAGGAAGGCGGTGGAGAGTGGTGGAGTGCGGTGGAGTGCGGTGGAGAGCGGTGGAGAGCAGTGGAGTGCGGTGGAGTGCGGTGGAGAGCGGTGGAGCCAGCTGGCGGGAGCGCCGGTTCAGAGGAGGAGCCAAGGCCGGCAAGTTAGCTCAGCTCGGCGGTAGGAGGGGCCGGGGCAGGCTGGGACCGGCGGAGTTGAGTTGCGGCCGGTGGAGCGGGGGCAGACAGAGCTGGGGTCGGCAGGAGCGCAGGTCCAGGGCAATGGGGCAGTAGGTGCAGGGCCGGTGGGCGCAGGGCTGGCAGTGAGCGGCTGGCGAATACGGGGCCAGCGGGGGCGGGGCGAGCGGGTGCGGGGCCAGCAGGCGCGGGGCCAACGGGCGCAGGGCTGGCGAGCGCGGGGCCGACGGGCACGGGGCTGGCGGGCATGGGGCTGGCGAAAGCGGGGCCAGCGGGCGCGGGCGAGCGGGTGCGGGGCCAGCAGGCGCGGAGCCAGCGGGCGCGGGGCTGGCGAGCGCGGGGCCGACGGGCGCTGGGCTGGCGGGCGCGGGGCTGGCGAACGCAGGGCCAGCGGGCGCGGGGCTGGCGAAAGTGGGGCCAGCGGGCACGTGCGAGGGGGTGCAGGGCCAGCAGGCGTGGAGCCAGCGGGCGCGGGGCCGACGGGCGCTTGGCTGGCGGGCGCAGGGCGGGCAATGCGGGGCCAGCAGGCGCGGGGTAGGCGGGCGCGGGGCCAGCAGGCACGGGGCTGGCGAGCACGGGGCCAACAGGTGCGGGGCTGGCGATCGCGGGGCCAGCGGGTGCTAGGCGACGGGCGACTATAGGCAGCAAGCTACGGGCGGCTAGAGTCAGGCGGCCAGTGACGGGCGGCTAGCTCTAGGGCTAGGGCTTGGGCGGAAGCGCGGGTGGGTGGGGAGAACCTAACCTAGTGTTAGAATACTAGAATAATTTGAAACAAGTGAGAACAAGAGAGATATAGTGTTGGGGTTGTACCCACTAAGAACATACACCTATCTAGCCTAGAACTTCTACATAACATCAAATGTATAAGTTGACACCTAGACCATATCAAAGTAGCAAAGTGACTAGAATACAAGATACACGGTGGTTTTCTGCTAAGGGGTTGTACTATAAAAGTACACACCTATCTAGCCTATAGTAACATACAAATATATGCCAGCTAGTGACCAACAGAATTTATTGCCATCCTAATTCTACCACCTCATCCTAGATTAGTACCCTTGCATCAACTTCCATGCCATCATCCTAAAGCTATGCTGGAACCTACAGCAGCTACCTCCTTCAAATGCACCTATGTTGGAACCTAAGGCTAGTCTCATCATGAAGTACCTACTAAGCAACCTAGGAGAAGCAAAATCCAAGGCATCCTTGGCAAATCTGATGGTTGGCATCATGCAATAATGAATACCAATGCACTACGTACCCAAACGGTACCCGAACCCCCGGCTCACTTCACAATAAGGAGGGGTCGCATCATGTCGTTCTCCTCGTGCTCGAGCATGTGGCAATGCCACACGTACCCCGGCCCGCGGCTTGGATCAAATTCGAACTGTTTCGCCCCAGACTGCTGGTAGAACGGGGTGTAGATCGTAAGCACCTGACCCGGGAGCGACAGGGTTGTGTCCTTCCACCCGCGCTCGTTGATATCCACAGCGACAGCCGCCCCCGTGTAACAGCTGGGCTTGGTCTTGTCCGTGAACGAGCACTTGCCCGACTGGTAACCGGCGATGTCGAAAGGGCGGCGCGAGATAGCACGGTGCTGGATGAGGTGGAGGTGCATGGCGTGCGCGTCCGCGCTCAGATTGATGATGTTCCACAGCTCCGTCGAGCCCTGAGGAAGTGGTGGGAAGTCGGGTGGAGAAGGGTGATGAGTTCCAGTCAGGTTCGTAATTGGAGTTCAGGGGTATGAAAGCATGGCAGTGCGGCAGCACGCATGGCTCACCTCCTTGGCGATCTCGGTGGCGGGGTCGCGTGGTGCTCCTACCAGCTCAAGCTCTCAAGCCCTAGCCTCCTCAGCTCACCTCCACGCATGCAGAAGTTAGCGTTGCTCACCTCCTTGGCGATCTCGGTGGCGGTGTCATGGTGCATCTTGCCGTCGATGGTCACGCGGATGGGCAGCTGCGTCTTGGCGTCCATGATCTCCACCAGCGTGTTGTACCGCACCTTCACCACGCTGCCCAGGTCCACCTTGGGAATGCTCTGTTTCGGACCGAAGATTTGGGGTTCAGAGGGGAAAGGAGCCGCGTTGTTTAGGGCGAAGAGGATCAAGCAACGCCGCATTGTACCAACAATACTAACAAGAAATGCTACGGGTGTTACAGCTGCGCGGACATGCGAACGTACAACGAGGGTGCTGGGGATGGACGGCGTAGGGATCTTCTGCCTATTGGTTATCACGAATCGCATCACCACGCCCGTGTTCGCGTCCGCGGGCTCGCCGGCGGGGTAGGGGGCGCGCGCGTCGTTCGTTAGAATCACGTCCTTGCAGTAGGAGGGCGCGGTGTTAAAGTCGACAAGGATGTCCATGCGCTCGCCGGGCAGCACCAGCAGCGTCGAGATGCGCACGGGGGATTCCAGGTACCCGCCATCCGAACCGATCTGAACCGCGGGGAATTGGGATGGAGCGGACAGAACAGCGGCAGCGTTGAGGACGAGGGGAGGGGAGTTGAAGATAGTTTGAAACGCAATGGCGAAGTGTGAACGTTGACAAGAATTCTGATACGATGCAGGAAATTGGAGAGGATGCGCAGGATCTTACCTGGATGATGTCAAGGGTGGGGCCCTTTAACGGGGGGAAGAAGTTGGGGTAGTCTCCGCGGCCCGCGCACGTGAACTTGAGGTTGTACACGCGCGCGTTCGCCCCGCCCAGCACGCGGAACCGGTACAGCGCGCGCCGAACCTTCTGGAACGGCCACACGAGGCCGTTCACGAGAATGTGGTTACCGAAGTACTCGGGAATCCAGTTCGGGTGCACGTTCGGAACGATCCCCACGTTCGGGTAGTCGATCGACCCGTTGGCGAAGAAAGACCGATCCGCAAGAATGAGTGGCACATAGCGAGCTGAGCCCGGCTGCGGCAGGAATTGGAGATTCTTCTCCTCGCCCTGGGGATCCACGATGATCCACCCGCCGGCGAGACCCGCGACTGTGTTGAGGCGAGTCCATCCGAGCGTGTGGTCGTGGTACCAAATGAGTGAGGCGCTTTGCTTGTTGCCGTAGCGGTAGAGGTTCGAGTTGAAGGTGGGGCCCGTTTCACCAAACTGAGTGATCCACGCGTCGGGATGCCCGTCGGACAAGCTCGACTGCTCGCCGCCGTGCCTGTGAACGACTGCGGACGGAGACGACGCGAGGGGGGGAAGACGACGGAGGGAAGACAAGAAGCGAGATAGGTGGGTTGATGAGGGGGAAATGAACAACCTGCGAAACTTTTAGTGCAGTGAATTTGCGTACCAATGGGATCGTATGTAAACAAAATGCAGGGCAAGAGGCAACCATCCCCGGAAGATGCCGCTGTTTTGGGCTTGTCCAATTCCGGAAAAGAATGAGGAAAAGCGAAAGATATGTGAAGGGAGGGGAACAACGCGTATGGACACGTACCCATGGGAATGCCTCCCTGCTTGGGCTTGGCCATCATGGGCATGAGCGTGTAGTCCACGGTGAACATGTGCTGCTTGTCCAGCAGCTTGTTCTGCCAGTACACCTTAGTAGGCACCCCCTTTTTCGCTACAACGATGGGCCCCGGGTACGACGCCGTCTTCTCGTCCACTCCGTAAGCGTACTGCTTCGTTTCGGGAAGGTCGCGGTGAAATTTCTGCCATACACCAGCAGGAGAGAAGGTAGTAAACGGGCCGTGAGTAACGCCGGAAAGAGACGACCTTGTAGGCTAATGCAGCTGAGAGCTGGTCAGGCGGTACTTACGTGGTAGATCTGAAAGGCGGCGATCGTAAGAGTCTTCCCGCTAGCACCGTCGACGACGGTGGGCTTGAACCCAAGAGCCATGTCATTGACGAACTTGCACAAGGGGTACTTGGGAAACCGGTTCTTGCACTTGGGACCGGCGAGGGGCGCCGTCATTGATCCAGCAAACAAGGAGAGTAGGCAGAGGGCGAGCAGCACCGCCCGCTGGGGACGCGCCGAGAAACCCATTGTGGAACAGTCAGACATGGAACAACTTCGTGTCTGGTGACAGAATTGCTTCCGTAAGAGTACTGTCAAAGCTGCGTGCAGGAACTTCGGCCGTGGAG